TAAAATTGATTTGGCAATGGGAGCACAACCTTGTGCGCTTACTAAAAACAATCATCAGATATGTAAATTTTATTTCCATAACGCTTCTAAAATTGGTGAATTTCTTTGTTAACATGACTACAGTCAGAAGTAAGAATTTGTGGGACCATTGAACTGAAGCTTCGCAATTTAAAATTGTTTTTTAATAAATGAGATTGGGGTTTGAAAAAAGCAATGGGGTTTGTTGGTTCGGTGACTGTTGCCTTGGCAACCCACTAACCTACCCAATATGGCCTTACCACCCCAATTCTTACTTTGATTCTCCCTAGCAGAGCACAAATAAGCTTCTCTATTTTAGAGTCCTGATTTCAGGGAGAGGAATGAGCAGGTCACAGATGAAACTAAGAGCAACAGAATGGGAAGGAACGTCATTTATACAGTCCCTAAACTGCCGACTACAGTAATTCTTCATTGTACAGCTGCTAATTGTGATAATGAAGCATGGTTACACGGTGAATTTGAAAACATTGATGACCAGAGGTTGGGAATTTGAATCTTACAGGCAGGTTACACAAGTGGGAGTGAGCAGCCCTAGATTTGATGTGCAACTCAAAGATCTTGAAAATTGGTAGAATAATCTTTTCCCATTCTGCAAGTTTGGTTTCATGGTACTGACCACCTCAGCTGGAATCACAGATCATGAAGACAAAAACACACAGGAGGGAAAATCCTGAGAATCACATATAATGCCTCAATGGGAAAAAAAAAAAAAAAAGTGGGAATTCTGAATCTGGCCAAGGTAGAGTAAGTCCTTCCCTTGCCTTGGTCTTCTGCTGACTACAACTATAATTTCTAGACAAAACAGAACCAAAAAAATGAATATATGAGGATGTGGAGAACAAAGTCAATCAGTGTATTGTGGAGAAGTGGCCTGCTGGAGCAAGGGTTTCCCACGTATTCACCACCCTGCCCTGAGCATGAGCTCCATTAGGAGAGCTGCATGATGGTGTAGGAGCTAGAACTCCAACAAAAACACCCCTTTCCTGAGGAACCAAAAGAAGGAGTATGAAGGGACAATCTTTATAGGGGGTTTTCTTGCTCTCTTCTCTATAGTTTTGCTCCACAGGTAGTCCCTAGTTACAAAGCCACATGGTGGTTGTGATGGACGCAGGGAAAACTCTTGAGAGAAACCCAATCTTCTGGAGTCCCTGAAGACCGGAATGGGTTGGAGGGAGGAGAAAAGCGGAGAATGCCACAAAGCCCAGACTCATCCCTGAGCCATGCAGGAGGGATCCACAGAGCAGTATAGCAAAGGTACTGAGAACTAAGATTTAAACCACTGTTATCTCAGACTAGCCCCAAGTGAAGCCTGTGCAGGATAGAGTTCAAAAAGTGGAGCCACGGTTTGAAAATTGAATGACATGAAGTTACCACCCTCAGATACAAAACAGAACTTGCCGTGTGATCCTAACCTAGGTGAATGTTCATCAACAACAACAAAATCAACATTCTCCAGAGAATTACATAACTGGACCCAAAGTACATACATAACATTCCAAACATCCAGGATACAATCCAGAATTATTTAATATACCCCCACACCTCAACCCCAAATAATAAAACCCAGGAGATTTGACTCATTCTCAAGGGATAAAAATAAATAGATGTCAACACTAAGATAACCCTTATTTTAGGGACCATCAATGACTTCTAAACATCCACTGTAACCACATCCCACAAGATAAAGAGAATATGAAGAATGGCATTTCCAAGCAGAGAAACAAACTATTAAAAAGAACTGATTAAATAATTTGAACCAAAATATATAAAATCTGAAAAAAGTCAGTGGATGGACATGACAGAGCAAAGAGTCAGTGAGCCTGAAGTCAGAACCACAGAAAGCTGTGATCTGAAGAACAGAAGGGAAGCAAGCAAAGAGAATGAACAGAGATCCTGTAACTGTGGGATAATTATCTGTTCACACCATTAGGATGCAGAAGGAAAAGACAAAAGGATTAGTGTGGGAAATAGTAGCCAAACATGGCCCGAATATGGTTGAAGACATGAATTTACAGATTATAATTGCTTAGTGAACCCTAAACAAGTTTAATCAAAAACAAACACCAAAGTCCTACAGACTTTCTCTTGGTAACCCATTCAAGCTTCTTATAGATGTTCCAATTCCTAATCTCTTATTTCATTTTTGCCTTTCCCAAATACATACTTTAATTGAAAATACACTGACAGTAGGAAGCACCATTAATGGATTTAACACTTAAAATGCTGCAAATGGTTTCATGGATGTGAAGATGTTAAAAAAAAAAAAAAAGGTTCATCTTAGAATCATACAATGTATTGTTACACAAGAAAGCACTACGCAGACACTAGCACCCAGTGCTCACACCTAATGCATACCTTTCTTCTTGGTTCCACAAAAGACCAAGTATGCATTCAGAAAAACTCACTGATTTATAGTGTTACAACTCTTCCACAAAGCCCCATCTATCCTTCTCTTTCTACTTTCAAACCCTTCCCGCTCCCAGCAAAGGCAAAGCACATCTCAATGTTCACACTAATCATTCTCTTCATCAGATTTAAGTTAGCCTCTTTTTTTCTGGAAGGTGTGACAGGCTGGGTGAGCTATTTTTTTACTTTTAATTTCTGCCACCACTCCTGTTAAAATAACTCTTTACAAAATTCCACCCATGTTTTATAAACCAATTCATGCTGATTTCCTTCTCTAATGAAAAATTTATTTTTGTCTCAACCTTAGACAGTTTTATGTATCTGTAGAGTCTACTTCATTCTCAAGTTATTTATAAAGTACTAAGAGAATTCAAAGGAAATTGTTTTCTAAATTAAAAAGGGGATTCCAAGTTTAAAAAATTTTATCGGCCATTAAGTGAACAGCCAAGGATAAATTTTCCTCATAGTATTTGACCCCTTGGTCCCACTTACGAAGTAAAATATAAGCTGTACAAGCCAAAGCATATGTGTCTTTAAGGAGATCTACTTATAGCTATGAAGCCTTTGGATAAAAAGAAACACAAGATTTCCTTCCCTCTATTATATTTAAAAGTATAGATTGCTTGTTCCTTCCTTTTTCCAGATGTACAATTTTTTAACCCCTGTGTTTCAAATTCTGCTATCGCTGCTATTCTGAATCCTACAGAGCACCCTATGTGATGGCACTGGCAGTGGTCAAATAGCTAGCACAGAGAATTAGGCCTGGCTCTGACTAAATGCCACTTAGGATAGCTCCCACCCCAACTCTCAAGTCATTCGTCTGTTCTATGCCTCTACTCCTCTTACAGAGGGTTAAAAAGACCCAAAAACAAAAACAAAAAAAATCACCTAACACTGCTTTATTAATAAAATGGACTTAACATGGTCAACTGTGGACTTTACAATCACCAGAGGGCCCTTTCACACTGCGTGCATGGCTCCTATTCTGGTGGTAGCTACACAACCAGGCAGCCCTCTCCAGAGGAAAAAGTGAGCTGTAAGTCTAGCCAGGTCTCTGACAGTACGATAGACAGCTGCACATGGTCATGAGAGTCCAGCTTCACTGATCTAGAGCTGGCTGGTCTAAGCGAAGCAGGGAGCAGAGGTCTTCTCAGGAGCACCATTTTGGTTTCCATGAGCCTAGCTGTGGCCGAACACCTAACTCTCAGGCTGTAAACACTCCAATCCTGAACCCTGCCATCTGGATGCCCAAAGAGCATTTTTCTCTCCTGGAAATAGAGTAGCTGTTGGGTCCCTGTGGGGAAAGCCTATCAGATAAGCTAAGGGCCTTTGTGTAGCTCAGTCTGGAAACTAAGACATGAGATTAAAACTACAAATGGGTTGTGTCATTTACTGTGCCACATGTGGGTCCAGTCATCACGCCTTGTTTTAAGAGAGAAACTGCCTAGACACACATGGAGGAGCTCAATTCTCAAGCATCAGCAATATCAGTCATTTTAGGAGGGCTTAAGAAAAAATAAGGGAGTATTTTCTTTCAATAACCATACTCACATTATCTTTTTGCCCTAAGGGAGGGGTGAAGGTTAGGAGTTGAAAATATTATTTGACGAAATTATTTTTGCAAGTTGCTACACTGGTGTGACACAAGTCTGGGATTTGGCACAATGCATACCCACTTCATGATCTGATACCCCCATGGAGTAGCCCACCACCTGCAGCCCAGGGCTGCTGGGCCCGGGGGAGGGGTGCTGCAGACCCTGGCCTCCAGCCATGCTACCTCTCTTTGGGGGTACTGGATCAGACACCGTAGATAACCAGCCAAAAAAAAAAAATAGAAAAGAAAAGGCAAAGAAAAGACGAGGGACCAAGGACGGGGAGCAAAAAATCCGAGAATTTGGACTTGGAGGGTTTTTTCAAACACTTTAATCCTTTCGTGCTGATGGTTCCTGGAGCGTCCATGGCTGGCACTGGACCTGTATCGGGAAAATCCAACTCCCTAAGCCAATGCGTTAAAGAGAAGACTGCTAATCAGCTAAATAGAAACTGGAATCGGTTCACATGAAGTCTCTTTTTTTCCTCCATCACCAGAGGGACACCATAGTGTTCTGAAATACACTCTCGACATCATTTGGCAGGCAACCCTATTTTGTTGAACATGATTCATCCCTTAGGTTATTGTTTTTAATATTAGAAAGTGAGCTTTTAAATGCCAAACAAATTTTGCAGCAGGGGGACAAAAGATATTCCAAGTGGTCTCACTGGACCTTCCACCAACTGCGTCCACCAAATGGCTTAAAAGGCAACCATCCCATGGTGTTTCAGAAATAAGGCAGAGACTCAGCTCTATCCAACTATTACCTAATACAAGACTTTGTTCTCCGAGTTCACAGAGACAGCATTTAGATCAGGGCAGAACTCAGGTGGGCTAAGCTGTGAAGTAAGAACTGAGGAGTGTGAGCAACAGAGGCAATCAGTGAGCACAGTGGAGGCTGAAGGGCAAGGCCTCAACATCAGCTGCTTGTGGCGATAAAAGGCTGATTTTTAGTCAGACATACCTTCTGTCCATGTTGCCACTGACCATGAGGTTGGGGGGGCTGTCTCTGAGGTTGACACAGGTGAAGTCCCCAAGAGCATTCCCCAGCTTCGAGAGGCAACGTTCTGCTTCCAAGCTATAGACCAGGATCTGGGGAGGAGGAAAATGTGGTGTACAGTTACATACGGCAGACCTACAGTGAACACTTCACCTCAGCAAGACCTTTACCAGTCAGCTCCTATTAAAGAAGATGCTCTACATCTCTTAATTTCCTGACCCTTTCCAGGTAAAGAAAGTATAAGAATACAGCCATTCGAATGACAAAGGGAAATGCAAACGGGATATAAAGGAAAATCTAGAGTACCTCAGGCAAAGTACAAACTCATGTATAGGACACAAAAATGCTACAAGGGGAAATTAGGATATTCCAATATTTGAAAAGAAAAAGAGGACTGGAAAGTAACTATGGGTCAACCACACTTCTGATCTGGAGTTAATGAGACCAGGGAGATGTGCAGATGAGCCAGCACAGGCTCTCTTTCTCACCCCTCTTGGTATTTAAACCAGAGGAGAGAAAGAACTCGATGAGTATCCAGGAAAAGGAAGTTGGCATAGTTAACCATGATTCAGAAATTAGGGAGACTATAAATCAAAACACAAAATCTTAGTTCCAAACAGTTCTCTCTTTAGTGACTCCATTTGCTAATTTTAGGTAGCTTTGTTCCATAAGGCATGGAGGCAAATAAGAAGGTATCCTTGATCTCTAGACAATGTATTTATTATATCTCAATACGTCTGTGCCTTCTCTACAGCAGTAGGGAAAAAATGATTCATTAAGAATCCTTCTGAAGATTATGTAAGTCTTTAATTAAAGAAACCTTAGTAATTCAATCCCACTTAACTTATAATGCTTATTGTAGTTAGCCACTTTTGTAAGTCCTGAAGAAACAATCATTGCCACAAAATTCAGTTCAAAAGCCTCTTGATTTTACACAAACACACACACACTTCCCAGTATACATTCTATTCTGTTGATCATATACATTAAAATAATCTTGGACTTGACAGTTTTAATGTTAACATTTTGTAGAGAGATTTGCACACACATTAAGAGTTTGTGTTCTATTTTTCTTTCTAGCTTATTTTGCTGAGCATGATCCCAGATGGTCTCACTCATAGCAGGAATTCAGAAAACCTAAATAAGGGACCAGGAAAAAGACTAATTATAATAAAGTAAAAATCAAAATCAACAAGCAACTATAAACCAGAGATGCACCACAGGGGTGGGGGTGGGGGTGGGATCAAAGCAAGGGGGGTGGGAATTGTATGGGGACTATAACCAAGATGAAAATGCATACATTGTACAAAAATGAAAAATGATGTAAAAAACATATAAAATATTAAAAAAAGATTATGTGTTCTCTCTTTCTTGTTAACTATCAATATACAGATAATTTTAGTATCGAGAAGTTAATATAAGTATTTCACCTTGAACCACTGATGTCACTGTCAACACACATTCTAAGAAGTTAATCTTTGGAAATTCCTAAATTCTTAAACAACATTGTAATAATATGGATTAACTACTGTTAACAGCATCTCAAAGAAGGAAATTTCAAAATTCAAAATGCCTTCATAACCCATAAAGGCTATAAATTAAATCTTTAAATCTTTTTATTTCCAGCAGTTGAAAATAAATTTGAGAAAATTTCAGTAATTGTAAGATATCCAAAATAAGATTATTCTCCTAAGTAAGAACACAGAAATAATCAAATCTTCTATTTCTAGAGAATTACATAAACATTGCAAAAAATCAGCTGCTGGAAAGTGAGGAAAAAGAGAAAATAACCACCTCGTGGTGGATTATAAATTTAATATTCTGTACTTATATATTAATATGGAGCTTTCGAGATGGTACTTGGACTTACTATCATCTTGTTTTTAAAATACTTCAACTTCTATAGCTGGAAGGAAGAACTTTAAAATGTAAAAATGTCCCAGGTAAATATAAGAATTAAAATCTCATACTGAGTCTTTTAATATGTCTTGACTTTTTCTAGAAGTTCTTTGTTGATAAGAATATGGATCATTTCTGAGTGATATAATAAGATCTAATCCCTCTCCTAAAAGACTCTGCAAATTCATCATAAAGACATCTAAGGTAGCAGTCAAGAGTCAAGTATTTTCTAAAATGTTTAATAATTCAATGAATCAGAACTATCCAAAGAGTACCTTTACCATTACGTTTAGTTAAAGACCACAGAGATCAGAAAACACATTACCCATCTCAAAGGCGATTCTCCCCATGTTACAGGTCCCTTAACGACCTTTACCATTTCTCCCTCCCTCCCTCTCACGCACTCTCTCTCTTTTAATAAGGTTGAGCAAATGGGACTTCATTTTATCAGATTGCCACAGACTAGTGAGATTAATTATTCATGCGCACACTCTCCCTCTTGTTAAGACCATGCATTAGACTAATTTTTCTCTTTATTGCCCTAGTTGGGTGAGTCTCAGTCCATGGCCACTTGACTCCCTCTCAGAGGTGTATGGATATGTTGGAAAGAAGGAAAAACTACCCATAGCTCAAATCTTGGGGAAAATGTACTGCACTAATGTGACTGCCAAATCAATAGATGTTGCTGGGTTTTGTTTTGTTTTCAATACCAAGGGTATATTACATAAGAGTACAGTGATTACAGAGCAAATTTTGACAGGCGTTTGATGTTCTTTAAAATTATCTGAAACCAGTAACATGTTAAGACTAGTGTGTATCTTGCAAAGGTAACTAGTGTTATTTTGCAAAGGTATCTAGGGAACTGCAGCGTAGACACGGGACACTGGGGGGTTCCCTTTTCCTTTAGCTCCCAGGCTGATTGAGAAGGCAGTAGGTAGAAGCAAGTATTGTCTTAGTAAAGAACTTTCAGAAGGTTCTTTCTGTCAGCCTTTTCTTCTAAGAGGTCTTGAAGTATTTTCATAAATTCCAGTCTTAAAGTCCTAACTTGTAATTATTCAGATTTCTCTGAAATCTATTTCTGAAAGAATTTTTTTTCTGATTTCAAATTTAACAGAATTTGTAAAAGAATTCTAACATAAACACATAACAAAGAGTGGTAACAAGTATATCCACCTCACAGAAATAACCACTTTAATAGTTTGGTATATATACTGCTAGACTTTTTCTATTCTGTTTGTCAGTCTCATGCTCAGGTTTTTCTTTTCTCTGAATGGGATTACTATTCTACACCTTGTTTCTCCTATTAAGTAACTTGTCAGAGAGATCTGGCTCTTTTAAATGGCTGCATAAAATTTTTCTATGGATATACAATTCTATACTGATGAATATTAAGATTGTTCCTAATTTTTTAGCCAAAATAAATGCTGCAATTTGTCCTACAGCTAGTCAACAAATATTTATTAACCATCATCTATGCATTGGGCACTGGATGAACAGGGCCAGGGATGAGGTGCAGAAGCATCAGCCTCCTGCCCGCTGAAACAATCTACTTTGTCAGCTGGGACACAGCTGCCAGCTGAACCGCAACTCCATTCATGGGACTCGCCTCTCCGAGGAACGACACCACTTTACGGGCAGGTCCCAGCGCTGGTGCTGCACACTGTAGGACAGCCGTGGAGTCAGCAAGGAGGCGGGGCCACAGACCTGCAGCTGAGAAGCATCAGCAATGGCCCTGGTTGCAGGCGGACGGGCCTTCCAGGTGTGGCCCGTGAAAACCAGGCCTGGTTTTCCAAACAAACTAGGAAGGGAAGAACTGAGAAATGGCTATTCCCCCCCCCCCCCCCCACTAGGGTGAGCTCAAAGCAAGTCAACTTCCTCCTGTACCCGGTCAGAACTGGATTTAGCAGAGATTAGAGTCTTGCAGTCCTAGACTTCTGGTCATTTGATAATGAATTAAGAAAGGAACTCCGTTTGTGTTTTTAATTATTATTCAGTTTACCAAAACAGTGAGTCTTCCTCATCTTCCTGGCTCTATCAAAGGCACTACACTGACGTCAACCTGGCCCCTAACTGACCTCCGCGGAACCCCAGCGCTGCCTTCCGAAGGGGTGAGGAGTGGTCCAAAGGCTTCCTTGTGAGACTGCAGCATTTTAAAAGGCCTTGTGAATTAAAGTTGAAACTTGTCACCATTTTCCAAAAGGAACATGTCAAAGAGTAAAAGTTTAGGAGAAACTGAGCTGAAATGAAGCAGAGTAAAATATAAAAGGCATGAAGAAGAAGAATTCGTAAACTTCTGGGAGAAGACAGTCTACCTACTTTCTTTTCTGATCCCCAGTAATTCGCTGCCATTACCACCACATCTATTTTGCTCTTCTGAGAGGGCAAAGTCAAAGTAAGAAGTTCTAGAAAGTAAGGCAAACAGTCCTCATGCTTTCCCCTCTTCCATCCCAATCAATCTGATTCTGTGCTCAGCGCAAAGTTATTCTCTCCTCATCAGTGCCAAAGGGTATCTGCACATTTTATCTGGTGTTCCCAGCTGCTAACTTGAACTGTGCATTTGCCTTCCTGATGCTTCCCAAATTTGTGGTTCTGAAACACTGAAGGGCCTGAGAGTCACTGTGGAGACTGACTGCTGCAGGTGAGGTGTCACTCTTATTACCTGGCGCCACATGTTGTGCAGCACTGTCCTGGATTGAGAAGGGAGGTTCCTGGGGCAGCACCCCAGCCCTCACTCACCAACACTGACTAGTGAGCCAGGCTGTGCTGGGTGTGGGTGCCGGCTAAGTGCCTGTAATGAATTGGCTGGTGCAGGAGAGGAGGCCAGCCCAGCACTCACAGCAGCCTGCTATACAATACATACTCAGGTATTTGGGTTTTTTTGCTTAACAGTCTCCTATTCCTAAATAGCTAATCTTATTATTGTTGGCTTGTACATGGAATCACTTCATCCTACTCATAACAGAAGGTTCCACAACTCTATCCACGACCGCCTGTTTTAGCACACCCAACCTGCATCCAGGTGCAAGGTCCCACCTGTGACAACATGGCAGAGAGAATGTCTGTTTATAAACACCGTTTAAAACTGTTTATGAACATGCTGGGTAAGACTCAGTTTATTAACAAATATTCCTTTACTTTTTTTTTTAAAGATTTATTTATTTATACAAGAACCGGAATACAGGCCAGAGGCGCG